TTAAAACTGCCCGCCTTCATCCGTGAAATTGTTGCACGTTTCAATCTTCAGGATCATGTATGGTGGGGACGTCTCATTCGAAACGCCCAGCCCGTCCTACTGACACGTCTGGGGGTGCGACAGGGAGGAGTTATTTGAAGAACAAGGGACGGAGGAGGAGGGGGAGAAGAAGGAGGAAGGGCAGATAATGATAATGATATTCATGACGCTGAAAATGATGATGCCGCTGATGATGATGATGATGACGATGACGGTGACGATGATGACGACGATGATGATGTTGCTGTTGTTTTTGATTATGACGATGCTGCTGATGGTGGTGGTAGTGATAATGACGATATTGATGTTGCTGATGATGATAATGATGGTGACGATGATGATGATGGTGGTGATGATGATGGTAATGATGATGATGGTGTTGATGATGGTGATGATGTTGACGAGAATGATTATGATGCCGATGGTGGTGACGATGATGATGATCATCATCATCGTAATGATGATGCCGATGATGATGATGATGATGCTGATGATGATGATTATGGTGCTGATTCTGATGATGGTAATGATGATGCTGGTGATGATGATGATCTTGGTGATGATTTCTGATGATGATGCTCCTGCTTTTGATGAGGATGAGGATTACGATGATGACGACGATGCTGACGACGATGATGCTGACGATGATGCTGATGATGAATATTATGATGATTATGACGATGATGATGATGATGATGCTGATGATGATGATGGTGATGCTGCTGATGATGATGATGTTGTTGATGATGATGATGACGCTGATGATGAGGATGATGATGATGATGATGACGATGATGACGATGATGATGATGATGATGATGATGGTGATGCTGATGATGATGATGATGATGATGATGATGTTGATGATGATGATGATGATGATGATGATGATGATGATGATGCTGATGATGATGATGATGATGATGATGATGATGATGATGATGATGATGATGATGATGATGATGATGATGATGATGATGATGATGATGATGATGATGATGATGCTGATGATGATGATGATGATGATGATGATGATGATGATGATGATGATGATGATGATGATGATGATTCCTCTCGCTTCGCGGGGTGCACGTCCGGAGCACGTACAGTCCAGCCGTTGTGGGGCTTTTTGGAAGCCTCCTGGGGGGTTCTTGGAAGCTTCTTGGAGGCTTCCTGTGGCGTTTTGGGGGTCTCCTGGGGGCCTCTTGGCGGCCTCTTGGGGGCGTCTTGGGCCGTCTTGGGCCGTCTTGGGGCGCTTTTGCGCCGTTTGGCCCCTTCGGGGGCCTTCTTGGGAGCCTCTCGCGGCCGCCTTCGGGCCCTCTTGGAATCCTCATGGGCCGTCTTGGGGGCCTCTTGGACCGTCTTGGGGGCCTCTTTGGGCTGACTTGGGGCTCCCTGGGGTTGTCTTGGGGCCACCTTGGGTGCTTCTTGGGTTGTCTTGGGACCATTTTGGAGGCTGCTTGGGCCGTCATGGGCTTCTGAAGAGCCGACAACACCGAGAACGCTGAAATCTTTGAAAAACTAACAAAAATCATGTTTTTGGCATCTGGAGGCCCTCTGGTGGGCTTTCTTCGGGCTCTCTTGGGCCATCTTGGGGGCGTTTTGGGCCCTCTTGGGGCCATCTTGGGCCGTCTTGCGGCCGTCTTGTCCCGTCTTGAGACCATCTTGAGCCGTCTTCACGCCGTCTTGGACCCTCAAGAGGCCCAAGGAGCCGAAATCATCGATTTTCCACAGGTTGTTATAGGTTTTGAGGCCCAGAAGGGGGCCACCACTTTTGGTACGCCCGGAGGTCTGGCGAGGGGCGCACGGGAGCGGCGCCGAGGGCGCCGCCCAATGAGTGGGTCGTCGTCGTTCGCCGTCGCCGTCGCCGTCGCCGCCGTCGCCGTCGCCGTCGCCGTCGCCGTCGTCGTCGTCGTCGTCGTCGTCGTCGTCGTCGGCGTCGGCGTCGGCGTCGGCGTCGGCGTCGGCGTCGGCGTCGGCGTCGGCGTCGGCGTCGCCGTCGGCGTCGGCGTCGGCATCGTCGGCATCGTCGGCATCGTCGGCGTCGTCGTCGTGGGCGCTGGCGGTCAAACCTTTCGCGGGCGTCTGAACCTGATGCTCGTGCTCTTTTGGGGCCGTCGCCGAGGTTCGCGCCGAGGTTCGAGCCTCGAGGGTCGAGGTTCGTGGCCTTCTCTCCGTCGAGGGCTTCCCCTGATGATGATGATGATGATGATGATTATATAGGCTTACGCCACATCCGCCGACCCCTATATAAACTACTGCGCCTCCAGGACTGCATTTCACGAGGCTTGTCCCAATCATGACACGGCGCTCGACATCGTTCCTGTTGCTTCGTTGCTGTTATCGTACCTCTTGGTGCTCTATTGTTGCCTTTTGGTGGCATCTTGGCCTGTTTGCAGGTCTTGGGCCAAGTTTTGGGGCCTCTTGGGGACTTCCTGGGGGCTTCTGGGCCCCTCAGGGC